GAAAACAGCCTTGGCCTTCCCCATCCCCTCCTCTACTCGCCTTTGCTTGCTCCGAGCTCCAGTCTTCTGGCTGAGGCTGCGCCAGTTTGCGTTGACTATCAGCACCACATCGTGTTCTCTGCCCTAACTCCCATGTACTCAGGAAAACTGCCAGCCCATTCTGAGTCAGGCTTGGTCACAGATGAAAACTGAGGATGGATGAGGCCCAACTCTGGTGTGCCACGTCTGGATTCCCTGGAGCAGAGGCAGGCACCAGTGCCAGCCTCAGAGAAAATCTTACTGTCCCACTTGAGTGGCTTTGCTTAAAAAAAGAAATCTGCTGAAGGTTTTTAAGTGGCACACCATCATTTATTTACAGAGAAAGGTATCACTTTAACAAAATCAGGAATCCTTCGGGAGCAGATTATTCTGTAATACTACTTTCGTTATCAGAGAACTCTCGATACAAAGTGTTCTACAAAACTACAAGAAGAATCGGGCTAGCCTTTTAAGGACACCATCAAAAATCAGGCCTACCCAATAAAAGCAAAGGCAGAGCTCTATAAAATTTGGTGAATCCGGGACCACTTCAACAAGTCTGGACATGTAAGTGATGGAAGATGTGGGATGTGAATTTCTCTTGCTAGCTTTCTCATTCCTCCTATTCTATCACTTAAAGCATTTACCTGCCAGCCCCCCACATCCTGGGTCTCTCTCCACTACCCTTGGAGAGCTCGTTTATTCTCCTGGCTCCAAATCTTACCCCTGTAGACACCTATCCCTTATCTCTGTCTGCCACTTACATGGTACCATCACCTTCAACTTAGTTGGTTGAGAATTGAAGCTCTCTCCCCGGAGAGCACCAGTTCCACGTCACCAACTGGGTGTTAGTGATGCTGCTAAGTTTTCTAATCAGGTTTGTGACCTTGGACTTGCTGCCTCCTTTTTGGTCCCTCTGACATGTCTCCTCTTTCCTCCTTCCCTGCCCACTCCTCCATCCCATTCTTTATATCACTCCTAGGCAAACCTTTCTTTGACCTGACACTGCTTTCACTACATTCTTTCCCTGCTCAAACCTCCCCATACCCAACTGGCTCCTCCAGGTAGTTGTCAAGGCCACCGTGCTCTTATCTCATCCTATCTGTTCAAGTGGGCTTTTCCACCACTGCTCAAAATAGCAATAAAACCACCTGCCACACATTACAAATGAGCTTTGCACTCAATATCTCAATTAATCCTCACACCACTAACTGGAAGCCAAAAAGGCAAACAGTGTCCATATTTTACAGGCTGAAATACTGTGACAGGCACAGGGTCACACAGTAAAAACTGCCTGGAGTATCTAGATCTAGAACCCAAATCTTCTTTACTTGTCTGGTGCAAACTTCGCTGTAACCTGGATATATACCTTCCTCGCACCTTGGATTCAGCAAACCCGTAGGAGGGTCTGCTCCTGAAAGTCTGTTTAATGTTTCAATGGGTTAAAAGAATAAGAATTTCTGCCCTCCTGACTGGGCGCGCTGGCTCACACCTGTAATCCCAGCACTTTGGGAGGCCGAGGCGAGCTGCTCATGAGGTCAGGAGATTGAGACCATCTGGCTAACACGGTGAAACCCCGTCTTTACTAAAAATACAAAAAATTGGCCGGGCGTGGTAGTGGGCGCCTGTAGTCCCAGCTACTCGGGAGGTCGAGGCAGGAGAATGGCGTGAACTCAGGAGGCAGAGCTTGCAGTGAGATCGCACCACTGCCCTCCAACCTGGGTGACAGAGTGAGACTCCGTCTCAAAAAAAAAAAAAAAAAAGGAATGTCTGCCCTCTTTTATACTACTTTTTTTTTTTTTTTTTTTTTAATTTTTCGAGAAGGCGTCTCCTCTGTTGCCCAGGCTGGGGTGCTGTAGCATGATCTCAGCTCACTGTAATCTCCGCCTCCTGGGTTCAAGCGATTCTCCTGCCTCAGCCTGCCAAGTAGCTGGGATTACAGGTGCCTGCCACCACACCTGGCTAATTTTTGTATTTTTAGTAGAGACAGGGTTTCATGATGTTGCCCAGGCTGGTCTCAAACTCCTGACCTCAGGTGATCTGCCCATTTTGGCTTCCCAAAGTGCTAGGATTACAGGCATGAGCCACCACACCCACCCTATACTCTTAATAGGTACAGAATCATTACTACTTGAAGGAAGGCCACAGTAAATGAGGCAGGAGTACAAACAGTAGACCAGGTAGACCAACAGCAGTGAAGCACCTTATGAATACAATCTGTAGGGGGTTCAGTAAGGGACTTGATATTATGTAGTTTCTGAGCACAGACACCATTTGAAAAGGGCACGGAAGGTTCAATTCCTACAGACCATGGTGGAAGGGACGGTGTTCCTGGCCAAAGGAACTGCCTGTACATGTCCATCCCACTGCCTTTCCAGGGTCTCATGCAGTATTCCTAGACAAATCCAGAACTGATTCCTTGCCCCTGAACCTCTACTGTACTTTTCTATCAGAGTTTAAAAGGATTCCTGTTCATCTTGCTGTTTCACAAGTCACTCCTGTGGTCCCAACTCGATTTTAAGCTTTTGTTGTTGTTGTTGTTGTTGTTGTTTTTGAGACAGGGTCTTGCTCTGTCACCCAAGCTGGAGTGCAGTGGCACGATCTCAGCTCAACTGCAGTTTCTGCCTCCTGGGTTCCAGCAATTCTCCTGCCTCAGCCTCCTAGGTAGCTGGTATTATAGGCACACGCCACCACGCCCAGCTAATTCTTTTGTATTTTTAGTAAAGATGGGGTTTCACTATGTTGGCCAGGCTGGTCTCAAACTCCTGACCTCAGGTGATCCGCCCGCCTTGGCCTCCCAAAGTGCTGGGATTACAGGCGTGAGCCACGGAGCCCGGCCTGATTTTAAGCTCTTTAAAGCCAAGAATGCAGTATTCTCTCCAAAATGTGATGGGGATCTGATGATGGCTTTTGCCCAAACTGTGGGAATAGTTCTGAGTTTCCAGAGTAAGCTTCATACCTTTCACTATGTTTTGATCACTAAGACTCAACCTAAAGAAGTCAATGAGTGACAGCAGCTTTTTTCCCCATCCAGAAATTTGCTATGCAGGGATGGTCTTTCCCTTCTGGTCCAGAGTCCCAGTCTGGTTTAACAAGATCAGAATGTGTAGGGAAATGCATTCTCATACATTGCTATGAGAGTATAGTTAAGCACAATTTCTATGGACGAAGATTTGCAAACTCAAAATGATCTACTCCTTGATCCAGCATCCCGTAATTCTAGCAGCCCATTTGCAACACAGTAAAACAAAGAACACTTTCTTCAGTCGGGCACTGATTAAATCACAGTGGATCTCTGAGACATATTAACTAGAAAGCACGGTACAGAACAGTATGCATAGTGTCCCATCCATGCCCAAAATATTTCTGGAAGAACACACAAGGAAATGGTGACAGTGGTGGCCTCAGGGAAGGGAAAAAGGGTGGCTGGTGAACAGCAGTGGTAGACTAGCTTTTTACTGTTAAGTTTTGAACCATGTGCATGTATAATTTTTTAAAAGAATTATGCAACAAATAACTTCTTTAAAAGTCTTCAGCCCCAGTACAGTGGCTCAGGCCTATAATCCCAGCACTTCGGGAGGCTGAGACAGGAGGATCGCTTGAGGCCAGGAGTTTGAGATCAGACCAGCCTGGGCAACATAGCAAGATTCCATCTCTACGAAAAAAAAAAAAAAAAAAAAGGTTAAAGAGCCAGGCGTGGTGGCACATGCCTGTAGTCCTAGCTATTCGGGAGGTGAGCCAGGATGGATGGCTTCAGCCCAGGAGTTTAAGACTGCAGCAGCATATGCGCCACTGCACCCAGCCTGGGTGACCCAGTGAGACCCCCATCTCCTAAAATTTTAAAAAAATGTAAGGCCAGGCATGGTGGCTCACGCCTGTAATCCCAGCATTTTGGGAGGTTGAGGCAGGTGGATCACTTGAGGCCAGCAGTTTGAGATCAGCCTGGGCAACATGGTAAAACCTGTCTCTACTAAACATACAAAAATTAGCCAGGCTTCATGGTATACACCTGTAATCCCAGCTACTCGGGAAGCTGAGGCAGGAGAACTGCTCGAACCCAGGAGGCGGAGGTTGCAGTGAGCCAAGATGGCGCCACTGTACTCCAGCCTGGGAAACAGAGTGATACTCCATCGCTAAAAAAAAAAAAAAAAAAAAAAAAAAAAAAAAAAAATTAAAAATCTACAAGAGGAGGAAAACAAACAAAAATGGGACATCAACCCAGACATGAAGGAAAAAAATTTTTTTAAGCCTTCATCATTGTGGTAAAAAAAACCCCGCCCTTAAAAACCCAGAAACCTAAGGTTTAAAGAGATGAGTGACCCCTCAATTCTTTGTTCCTCTGAGAACAGACTGTGTCTTTCATCTGCTTTTTAAGTCCTCTTCCCAAGGTCTGGCCCGATGTTTGGTCTCAATGGTTGTGTAATGTCTTTGAATGGATGAACTTTACTTCCCTACCAAAAAGTAAAGCATTCTCCAAATGCAAGCAATTGTGAAACAGTGATAAAGGTCGAGGGGGAAGCAGCATGGCTGAGAGCTGCTTTTGCCTCATGTATTCATTCACCTGCATAACTGAGCACCCACGTGCATGGATGTGTACCATGTCCAGACTGTGAGATGTGGACCTGCCTCACAGCGTACCAGGAGAGACGAGACCACACACAAAGAACCACTGGATAGAAAAGCTACATGAGTTTTAAAATAGGGAATTTCTGAAGCAGCTTACTACTGACAGCTGAAAACCACTGGCTTGACCACATATACAAAGGCTGCAATCTCAGAGGGATATTTCATGTATTTAGTAAAACCTAGGGAAATGAGGAAGGCAGGGCAGTTGATAAAGACTTGTAGGTACACCTTGGCCCCAGGGAGGCAGGTGGATGCTGGTGGAGAGCATCACCTAAATTAGCTGCCTCCTTTCTTGGCAATCCTGTTATCTACACCATATGAATCCAGTCTTTAGCTGGATATAACCATTCATTCACTTATTCATTCAGCAAGTATTTATTGAACAGCCTAGTCTGTGCAGACCTATGTTAACTGTCTCCAGCACACTCAATCCATGACATTAAAGTTACAGTTTTGGCCTTTGTGCATTAGCAATGACAGGTCCTCACTCTTACCACAAAGCGCAAGTCAGCTTGGCCTCTCAAGTGGAGAGATAATCGTTCTATAGCAAGAAGTACAAAGATTCTCTGCAGACAAAACCAGTTAGCCAAGGGATCACACCATGTGTACATATAGAAGTTTGATGGATCAGAAGAAATATGTACCAGGGAATCAAATGTAGCCAGCCCACATACTAACAAACATCAAAGCAAGCCTAGTCAGACTGAGTCCCATTTGAACAATCTTTATAAAGGTTTCTTCATGTTATTTACAATTCAAAGTAAATTTACTTTATAAGCAGCTAGGGAATTCTTTATTTAGTAATGTCCTAACATAAAAGTTCGCATAACTGCTTCTGTCAAACCATGATACCGAGCTTTATGACAACCCAGAAATAACTAAGAGAAGGCAAACATAATACCTTAGAGATCAGGAAACATTTACACAGTTCAACTGTTTAAAAATAGCTCAACATTCAGCCAGTGAGTAGCGTGAATGCCAGCATACACGGTATACAGGTCCTTCAGGGAGGCGAGAGACCTTTCGACTGGTCTGCAGGTGCCTCCAAATGCTGGTCCTGTGGAACTTCTTTCTGAGTCTCGTTCTCTTCCACCGCAGTCTGTGGTCTGACACTCAAGTGTTCGAATTTCCAGGAATCGTGACTACCTTCATGTTGCTTAAAAGACCAGATGTAAGTATCACACAGGTGTTATATTTTCACTCAATTAATTGGCTAAAGATATATAACTAGGCATATTCTATCACTGAGTGAAAAATTTAGCACTAATATCTCAGATCCAATTCTACTATAACAAATAGTAAACATGATTTTAAAAAGTCTATAGAACCACAATTTCAAAAGCCCTAATGACGACTCACTTGTTTCAAGTAGCACTCATTACCACAAAATCCTAGTATATTCAGTGTAACAGTATTTGACCTGGGGTTTAAGAACATAAGCCAAGGTTAGGGAAAGAAAACCAAGTCTCTCTTTAACTTCCATCAGATTGGCAACTCTGGTCAACCCTCTGCATCTGCAGGTTCTACATATGCAGATTCAACAAACCACAGATCAAAAATATTTTAGCAGTAAATAAATAAAATAAAAAATAACAATAAAAAATATAAATTTTTAAAAATAGAGTATAACTACTTATATAGCATTTACATTGTGTTATGTAAGTGATTTAGATATGATTAAAGTATATGGGAGGATATGTGTAGGTTATATGCAAAAACTACAGCATTTTATAAAAGCGATTTGAGCATCCGTGAATTTTGGTATCCGCAGGGGCCCTAGTACCAAACCCCTGTGCATACTGAGGGACAACTATAAACCCAGTAACAATTTTAACAATGAACTACTCACAGTCCTTTCTTCGCCAACTCGTCTTAAAATGACACCTTCTGCCAATAAAGCCTTCCCTGTTTCCACAAATAACTTCTCTTCATCTGTTTCTCCAAGTTTCTGCAGCTCAGTGTACTTCTCCACAAACCTGTAATTCCAAGCAGTCACATTTTAGGTCTGTTTGTAAGTGTTGTTAAGACACGCTGTTACACAGTATCAAATGGATAACGAAATCCTTAAAAAATAATACGAATAGCCTAGGACTTATAAAATGGCTTACCGTTGACAGGTAGACTTGAAGTTTAGATTGAACAGATCAAAAGCTCTTTGACCAGACCCATACACTGAATAAAACTTCCTAGAAAATGCAAACAACATAATATAAATCTCTGATTATAGACTGTGAATGAGAATGGAATAAAAGAAAGAAAGAATAAGTGCTAGTTCCTGAAGAGTTAAGTACAGTACAACCCACAAAGCCTAAGCTGAACAGTTTTGTTTTTTTAGATAAGTAATGCACACATGCACATGGTAAATACATCAAATAGCACAAAAGGGTGGCCAGTGAAAAGTAACACTCCCTCCCATTTCTGCACCCCAGCCCCCCCAGTTCCCTTCCCAGGAAGCAACACTAACCAATTTCTTGTATATCCATCCAGAAATATTCCACTAATATACTAGTACATATGCACTATCATTCCCTGTCCCCAGCCACATTTTTAACCCAAAGAATAGTAAACCTTGCTCTACATCTTGCCTTTTTAAAAACTGAGGTATGGCTATGCACAGTGGCTCTTGCCTATAATCCCAGCAGTTTGGGAGGCTGAGGCAGGCAGATTACTTGAGACCAGGAGTTCAACATGGTGAAACCCCATCTCTACTAAAAATACAAAGAAATTAGCAGGCATGGTGGCATATGCCTGTAGTCACAGCTACTTGGGAGGGTTAGGTGGGAGAATCGCTTGAATCCAGGAGGCGGAGGTTGCAGTAAGTGGAGATCGCACCACTGCACTCCAGCCGGGGTGACAGAACGAGACTCTGTGTCAAAAAATAACAACAAAATAAAAATAAATAATAAAAACTGAGATAAAATTCACACATCATAAAATTAACACCCCCCCCCCCCGCCCAAAGAGACAGGGTCTCACTGTGTCACCCAGGCAGGTAGCAGTGCTGTGATCATAACTCACTGCAGCCTCAAACTCCTGGGCTCAAGCAATCCTCTTGCCTCAGCCTCCTGAGTAGCTGGAACTACAGGTTCGCAGCACCACCATGCCTGGCTAAGTTTTAAATTTTTTTGTAGAGATACAGTCTCACTATGTTGCCCAGGCTGGTCTTGAACTGCTAGCCTCAAGAGATCCTCCCACCTTGGCTTCCAAAAATCCTGGGCTTACAGGTATGAGCCACTGTCCCCAGCCCAAATTTAACATTTTTCAGTGTGCAATTAAGTGACATGTAGAAAACTCACAAAGCTGTGCAACTAGCACCTCTATCTAGTTCCAAAACACTGTCATCACCCCCAAAGGAGGCACTGTATCTGAGCAGTCACTCCCCATTTCTCCTCCCTACATCTTGCCTTATCAGTGCATGGAGATTGTTTCCAGTCCTTTGCTACTCTAAACCATGCTGCAATCATTATCTCTATTTATAATTTTAGCACACCACGTAAATAAGTCTGTGGCATAAATTCACAAATGTGGTATTACTGGATCAAGGTATATGCCTTTGTAATTAAGCCTTCCAAATTGCCAAAATGCTTTCCAAAGTGGCCGCACCAATTTACATTCACATCGGTAATATATGAGTGCCTATTTCCGCACACCCTGACCAAATGACATTGTCCAGCTGAGCATAGAGGCTCATACATATAATCCCACCCGCTTGGGAAGCTGAGGCAGGAGGATCTTTTCAGGCCAGAAGCTCACCACCAGCTTGGGCAACATGGTGAGACCTGAGACCCTGTCTCTAAAAGAAAAAGAAACAAAACCAAACAAAAAATACACACACACACACACACTCGAGCCAGGTGCAGTGGCTCACACCTGTAATCCCAGTGAAAAAATATATATATATATATTTAGACCAGGTGTGGTGGCTGATGCCTGTAATTCCAGCACTTTGAGAGGCCAAGGCAGGAGGATCACTTGAGGCCAGGAGTTCAAGACCAGCCTGGGCAATATAGTGGGACCCCATCTCTACAAAAAAATTAAAAATTAGCCAGGAATAGTGGCATATACCTGTAGTCCCAGCTACTCAGGAGGCTGAGGTGGGAGGATCACTTGAGACCAGGAGGTCAAGGCTGCAGTAAGCCATGATAGGTGCCACTGCATTCCAGCCTGGATGAGATCCTGTCTCAAAAAAAAAAAAAAAAGAAAATACACACACACACACACACACACACACACACACGTTCTCCAACTTTTTGATCTTAGCCAACCTGATAGGTAAGAAACCAGAACTCTTTATAGTTTTAATTTGCTTTTCTTTTGAAAGAGACTGGACATCTTTTCGAGTTTAAAAGCAAACTGAATTTCCTTTACTGTGAATTGTCCAAGTTCTTTGTCCGCTTTTTGATTTGATGGCTGCTATGGACTAAATGTGTCCCACCAAAATTAGTATGTTGAAATCCTAATCCCCAATGTGATGTTATTTAGAGATGGAGCCTTTCGGAGGTAATCAGGTCATGGTAATCAGCCCTCGTGATGCGATTAGTGCCCCTATAAGAGATAGGAGAGCTTGCTTCTACTCTCTGCTCCTCTCAATGTGAGGAATCAGGAAGACAGTCCTACCCAGAACCTGACCCTACTGGCACCCTGATCTCAGACTTCCCAGCATCTGGAACTATAAGAAAGAAATTTCGTTTGTTTATAAGCCACCTTGTCTAGGGTAATTTGTTATAGCAGCCCAAACTATGACAGTGGTCTCTTCTTAATGATTTCTAAGCAAACTTTGTAGCCACATACATACAAAATTAGTCCTTTGTCATATTGCAAAAGTCCATTGCAAAGATCTTTCCCAGTTTGTTGGCTGTCTTTTGATTTTGCTTATGGTACTTTTTTATACAGAAAATTTTAACATTTTCTTTTATGGCTTCGGAGTTTTATATCATGCTTAAAAAGACCTTTATCACTCAGATGATTTTTTAATTCTCCCATGTTTTCTTCCAGTACTGTTATGATCTCACTTTTTACACTTAGGTTTTAATACATCTTTTTATTTTATTTATTTTGTTGTAAGTAAGTTCTTTTTTTTTTTTTTTAAGAGATGGGTCTTGCCATGTTGCCAGGCTGTTCTGAGTGCAGTGGCTATTCACAGGTACAATCATAGTGTACTACAACCTTGAACTCCTAGACTCCAATGGTCCTCCTTCCTCAGCCTCCCAAGTAGCTGGAACTACTGGCATGTACAACCACTCTATAAGCTTTTTTAAATATCAAAAACACCAAAATAAAAAAAAAGAGGGCCACAAAGAGCTTCAATAAATTATATAAATACAAGATAATATTTTGGCATTAATAGAAATAATTTTTATATGTTCTGACAATAGTAAAAAATTTAAGAATAAAAAAAGAATTTAAAGAAATAATATTTAACAGGCTGGGCATGGTGGCTCATGCCTATAATCCCAGCACTTTGGGAGGCCGAGGTGGGTGGATCACTAGAGGTCAGGAGTTCAAGACCAGCCTGGCCAACATGGTGAAACCCCATCTCCCTAAAAATACAAAAAAAAAAAAAATTAGCCGGGCATGGTGACACATGCCTGTAATCCCAGCTACTCGGGAGGCCAAGGAGGAGAATTGCTTGAACCCAGGAGGTGAAGGTTGCAGTGAGCTGAGATTGAGCCACTGCACTCCAGCCTGGGAGAGAGAGAGAGCGCAACACTCTGTCGAAAAAAAAAAAAAAAAAAAAAAAAGGTAGTATTTAACAAGAGAGACCAGTAAACTATTCCACATTCTCCAATCATTTATCACCCAGTTCCAATGCTATCTAGAGCAGAAGCACAATGATTTTTTTTTAATTTTTTTTTTTATTTCTTTATTTTTGAAACGGAGTCTTGCTCTGTTGCCCAGGCTGGAGTGCAGTGGTGCAAACTCAGCTGACTGTAACCTCCACCTCCTGGGTTAAAGCGATCCTCCCACTTCAGCCTCCAGATTAGCTGGGACTACATGTGCACGCCACCACGCCTGGTTGATTTTTGCATTTTTAGTAGAGATGGGGTTTCACCATGTTGCCCAGGCTGCTTTCCAACTCCTGACCTCAAGTGATCCACCCGCCTCAGCCTCCTAAAGTGCCGGGATTATACCTGAGAGCAAAGCACAAATGATTTTAATGTATCAGTGAACCACAAAGTGCATGCAATGGGTCTGAGAAGAAAGGTGCTGAAAAAGCATTTAATCTCCTTAAAGATCTCATGTCCTATGCCGAAAATTTCCAAGTAGAGCAAGAACATACTTGTTCTGCTACCTTAAAAGAATGCTGGGGTTAGGGGTCCCAGGGGGAAGCCTGGGCCCCAATTCAGAACATAATGACCTTATAAATTCCATTTTCTAGCATCCTGAAATAACAGTAAGAATAACGGATGTGTATTATCAAAGTCAATTAGGCACATTCATTGGTCTAAATATTTAAGAGAAAAAGGAACTAGACAAATTCTAGGTACTAAAAGCTAACATGTATTCAAGGGGAGGGGCTTTGTCAGTAAACTCCTAGTGAGAGATTTACCACTTATTTAGATCTCAGATAAATGTATAGGGATGCTAAATGTGGCCACAGAAGTGGTTTCCAGCCTACTGTTCCTGAAATTGTTTCAGAAAACTAATAAAATTCCGATGGCCATTCTCCAAACAGTCCCAGTTCTGGCCCTCCACCACTCCTCTCCAAGGAATTTTCTTGCATTTCTCTCTACCAGCCTCGTAGTTCATCTGTTCATTAATCCATTAGCTTCTTCATTCAAGAGACAATTAATAAGCAACTTATATGCCACACATTGGGCTAGGCACTAAAGTTACAGGAATGAATGTGACAATGCCTGGCCTATGACAGTGCTTAATGAATGTTTGTTACTGAATAAAGACAGGGCATTTGTAATGTAGAGCTATTAAAGACAAGCTAAGGCCACAACAGGGGCAGTATGAACAAAGCTCTCAGGGCATACAAAAGGGGAAACATGAAAACTGACTGGCAGCAGAAAAGTAGTCCCAAAAGAGTTGTGACATCTATTTTTTTTTTTTTTAGTATGAAAAAAATAGAGAACTTTAAAGACATTTTTAAGAAAGTTGCTAGGAGGCTGGGCACAGTGGCTCATACCTGTAATCCTAACACTTTAGGAAGCCGACGCAGGAGGATCACAAGGTCAGGAGTTCGAGACCAGCCTGACCAAAATGGTAAAACCCCATCTCTACTAAAAATACAAAAATTAACCAGGCGTGGTGGCGTGCACTTGTAATTCCAGCTACTCAGGAGGCTGAGGCAGGAGAACTGCTTAAACCCGGGAGGTGGAGGTTGCAGCGAGCCAAAATTACACCACTGCACTCCAGCCTGGGTGATAGAGCGAGACTCCATCTCAAAAACAACAACAACAAAGAATGTTGCTAGGAAACCATTAGAAGCACATTTTCTGTGACTAAGTTTTGGGAAAAGGAGAGTGAAGGAGGAAAGAAAATTAAGGAATGAATGCTTCTACTAGTTTCAACCCCTCATTTGCACTTTGAAAGATAACTCAGAAAAAGAAAGTTGAGTTTACTGAAAAAGACTTTCCCAAACCCGCTAAGCCTAAAGGCAACGAAGCCAGCAAAAAGAAAAAGTGGGTAGATTTGAATACATAAAATACTTCAGTGCCTAGCACAATGTTTAGCACAATGCTTAACACATAGAAGGCACCAAAAAAATTAGTGGAATGAAATAACTAGCTTCTATAAATTAAACAAGCATTATTAATAACAAATAACATATAAATAAATGTCTGGAGTGTATGTCAAAGACTTAGTATATTCAATTCAATAAAGAATTCTTACTGATCAATAATAACAATTATTAAAATAGGTAAAGAAGACAGATATTTCAAAAATAAATTCAAATGGCCAATAATCATGAAAGTAGAGAAACCTGTCAAAGAAACAGAAATTAAAATCTCTAGACACAATTACTGGTTTTTTTTTTCCAAGACAGAGTCTTGCTCTGTCGCCCAGGCTGGAGTGCAGTGGCATCATCTCAGCTCACTGCAACATCCGCCACCCAGGTTCAAGCTATTCTCCTGCCTCAGCCTCCCAAGCAGCTGGGATTACATTCCCGGGCCACCACACCCAGCTAATTTTTTAATTTTTAGTAGAGACGGGGTTTCATCATGTTGGCCAGGTTGGTTTCGAACTCCTGATCTCGTGATCCGCCTGCGTGGGCTTCCCAAAGTGCTGGGGTTATTATTTTAAAACTACCTAGATCAGCCAGGTGCAGTGGCTCATGCCTATAATCCCAGCACTTTGGGAGGCCAAGGCAGGCGGATCATGAGATCAGGAGATCGAGACCATCCTGGCTAACACGGTGAAACACCGTCTCTACTAAAAATACACAAATTAGCCAGGCATGGTGGCAGTCGCCTGTAGTCCCAGCTACTCGGGAGGCTGAGGCAGGAGAATGGCGTGAACCTGGAAGGCAGAGCTTACAGTGAGCCAAGATCGCGCCACTGCACGCCAGCCTAGGAGACAGAGTGAGACTCCGACTCAAAAAAAAAAAAAAGAAAAAAAAAACCTACCTAGATCAAGATCCTGTCTCTTTTGGAGACAGGGTCTCCCTCTGTTGCCCAGGCAGGAGTGCAGTGGTGCAATCTCAGCTCACTGCAACCTCCACCTTCTAGGTTCAAGCAATTCTCCCACCTCAGCCTCCAGAGTAGCTGGGACTACAGGCACCCACCACCATGCCTGGCTAATTTTTGGTATTTTAGTCAAGACAGGGTTTCACCATGTTGCCCAAAGTGGTCTCGAACTCCTGAACTCAGGCAATCTGCCTGCCTCAGCCTCCCAAAGTGCTAGGATTACAGGCATGGGCCACCATACCTGGCTCAGAAAAAAAAATTCTTAAATAATCATTACCAATACTGACAAGGATAAAGTAAGAACTCTCAGAAACTGCTAATCAGAGTGTAAACTAAGACAACCCTTTTTTTTTTTTTCGGTAGAGACAAGTCCTGCTGTGTTGCCCAGGCTGGTCTCAAACTCCTGGGCACAAGCTACCCTTGCCTACGCCTCCCAAAGCACTGGGATTACAGGCACAAGCTACCACATCCAGCCTGTGATTTCTTCTTTATGCTTTCCTCGTGTATCTAAATTTTCTGTAAGTAGCATGTGTTGCTTTTAGAACAAAAGAGGAAATACTCTTGCCACTGAGCTTAAGAAAAAAAGAGAAAAGGGATGCTAAAAAAAATAAACAAAGAACACATGATTTTCCTTTAAATTCCTAGTGATTTGTCTCACTCTGTCACCCAGGCTGGAGTGCAGTGGCGCAATCTCGGCTCACTGCAACCTCCACCTCCCAGGTTCAAGCAATTCTCCTGTCTCAGCCTCCCGAGTAGCTGGGACTACAGGCACCCACCACCATGCCCGGCTAATTTTTGTATTTTTAGTAGAGACGGGGTTTCACCATATTGGTCTGATTTGTCTCGAACTCCTGACCTCAGGTGATCCGCCCGCCTTGGCCTCCCGAAGTGTTGGGATTACAGGCGTAAGCCACCACGCCCGGCCTCTCTTAGACTTTTAAGCATCCTTTCATCTGAGTGGCTTCAAAGATCCGGACTACTAGATCCATAGACCACGTTCCTCCTATCTCTACTCCTGGAGAAGGCAGGCATAATGATCACCATAAGCTTGGAGTCAGAGATGTGATTCTCAGATCTGCCACCCTCCTATGTATTTAGTAATTACTAGAAGTTAGCTAATTTCCTGGAGCTTCGCATTCTCCTTGAATAAAATGGAAACAACAATACTTCCTTACAAGTTAGAGTAAGGCCTTAGAGAATGAGATAATGCTTGCAAAGAGCTTAGTACAGTTCCTGGCCCAAAGCAGATGCCCAGAAACAGGCAGCTATAATTGCAATGATCTTTCAGTTGCTGGGCTCCAGATTCCAGTTTTCAGAACTTCAGTTTCACTATGGGGAAGGGGTGCTGACTCCCTAATTTGGCTAGATAAGTCTTCTCCACAGGGCAAGCCCCTGACTCAATTTCATATTTGAATTCCCAGACTGCTACCGAAACCTCCCCTTCTTAAGTTCTGTTGCCTCCTGTCCACTACAGGGCTGAGCACTCACGCTCTAATCTGATCCTCGTGGTACCAGATGTCCTGGATGGAAGCTTTGGCTTTGCCATATCGCAATCGGGTTCTTTGGAAGACGGGCTCCCTCAGCGGGGGAAAGGCGTTATATACGTCCAACCACAGAGGTTTCTCCTTCAGCACCCCGGCCCGAATCAGGTTCCGAGTCCTTAGAGAGGAAACAGAATGAAACTGGGTCACTTGCAGTAGCCTGCCAAAGCCCCTGAATCAGTCTAGCACAGCTTGGGACATTAAAGGTATTACGCGGTCTGCAACACAGATCGGGGGAGGACTGCTCCCCACCTACAGGGAAGGTCTGTCCACATCCCAAACCAAACTAACAACGCTCAGGGGTTAAATCCCTCTATCTTCTTTTGTGCGTCCCACCCACGTTCGGTCACGGAAAAATGCAAGAGCGGTCTAGTCAGGCCCATCGGGGTCTTCCTCCCTTCCTCTTCCCAGAGACCTCCACTCGGGGAGAGGCGGCTGCAATAATCTTTAACGTGACACATAAACTCAAGGAGAGGCATCCTCAGGCACAACTATTCGGAGCCAGAAGAAAACATGGGAATCTCACCCAGCTCAGCCCCGCACCCTGCAGAACGCCTCGCCCTGCTCAGGTCCGCCCCAAGGAAGAGCGTGACCAGCTGAGAACCCCAGCCTGGGGGAAGCACCCTCAGCCCACCGTGGCTCGGAGCACACACCGCGAGAAGACGCTCCCTACGGTTTCCAGCCGGCTGCCTGCCATGATCTGCGCCTGGGATCAAGCGTGACTAGCTGCTACCGGAACCGGAAGCGGCTGCTTCAGATAAAGGGCGCATAAGTTGCTGGCCGAGCCGAGGATCACTGTGCTTTCACCACAGCCCCTGCGGGAGAGCGGCGCAGGCAGAAGCAAGTGATAGGCCGAACGGGCGCGCTCCGAGGTTACTTGCCAGTTTCAGGCAGGAGCACTCGATAGCAGAGCCAAAAGGGAGGGAGCGAGCCAAAGCCGGACAGAAATAATAAATGACCGAGCTGGGGGAGGGATTCATTATGGTGGTTGCTTTACTCTCTATCGACTTGTTGAGCCAACTCCTCTGAAAAGGTGGAGCCACGCGGAGGAGAAGTAGTGGGGCAGAGTAGGGGTGAGGCGCAGCCTACGGTCCTGGGGAAGCCAACAAAGGCCGAGATTTGAGGTCACCAGCTCTAGGCCCAGGCTGAGCCTAATGTTGTTCAGAGTCACAGACTACGCAGAAGAAAACGAAGGCCGGAGAGGGGCCGTCACTTGCCCAGCGTCGTGCTAGATTTCGGGCCTCCGCCTCTGGCTGTGTAGTGCTCCCACTAAGCCCCTCGTCCCCGGAGTGCCACCTGCATCCACGCTAACTGGGATGCTGGCTGCAACTCGTGTTTCCCGCGGCCGGCGTTGCGGGCTACCTCCTCCTTGGAACTCGAAAAGTGAAAGTGTCCGGAACAAACAAACGCCGAGAAGAAAACGAAAAAATCTGCAGAAAGTCATCTCTCAGTGTTAAACTGTAAAAAAAATATAAACTGTGTGTAGCGTATACCCTTTGACCCAGTAATCAGATTTCGGGGAAAGAATCCCGTAGAAATTAAAACATCAATTCATGAGGATGTTTGCTCAAGGATCATCGTTCCAGCATTGTTTGTAGTGGGAAAAAAATCTATCAGATGAGAAATGGCTGGAAAATTATTGTTCATACTTTCTTTGAAACCCTATGCAGCTATTAAAATGAATGAGCTAGATCCATATGTATTTACCTAGGTTAACGTACATGACTTATGTTTAAATGAAAGACGAAGTGGCAAAGAAACATGTTTAATGGAATCTCAACGTGTTAGGAAAAAAGAAAAAGAAACGACTTATGTTTAAATGAAAGACGAAGTGGCAAAGAAACATGTTTAATGGAATCTCAACATGTTAGGAAAAAAGAAAAAGAAAAAGAAACACCTCTATATATGTTTGTGTTTGAGGATAGAAATTCTGCAGAAGGACACCCAAGGCTGTGAACATTGGGTATCTCGGAGTGAAATTGCAGGCAGGGAAGGGAGAATTTTTTCTTCCTTTATACGTGCTTCAGAGTTTGACTTGTAAAGAGATGGTATTCATATTTGAACTTTTAATCCAATGAATGTTTTGAATCACACACAATGTCTCCTGGGAACCTAGTCAAGTCATGCTAGAGTCCTCCCACTCAGAGGCTGGTGAGGGGGAGGAAGGGACTGTTTGATGAGTACTTACTACTTGTGTGTGTTATCTTACTGAATCCACATACCTTCCCATAAGGTAGCTATTAACATCCTCATTATAGATGAGAAAGCAAGGCCTCAGGAAGTTAAACTTGTCTGATAAGCAACTGATAGAGCCAGCCTGGGGGGGCGGGGCAGACAGGGCCCTTTCCAAGACCTCACACTGCTGCCTAAGCTATGCCTAAAGCTGGAGGCTGGTAGGCTCAAGAGTCCAGCAGAAGGCTGCTCCCCCGCCTCCCTCCCCACAACACACACACACACACACACACACACACACACACACACACACACAGAGCAGGAATCCAGTGATTTGAGGCCCAGGGCTAACCTGTGGTGGATTTCACTGCTGCCTCCAGATCCTCTGGAACAGAAAAGAAACAGCACAGCTCTGGCCCCAGGCCAAGTGTAAAGGTTGTAGTCTCCCAGCCCTCAGGAGGTCTAAAAGGCCATGCTCTGGGGAGAGTAAACATGCTCCCAGCTAAATATAGTCTTCCCAGGCCTCCTAACAACTTTCTAATTCTGTCCCAGCCAGCACTATCTGCCAGCCCAGATTACAGGCACACTTCTCTTCTCCCACCAGGAACTGCTACTGTAGGTTAGTGCAGTCACTGCAGCTAAAGAGTTAAAGGGTTTATTCTAAGAACAAGGAGGGGGAACAAAGACGCAAACCCTCAATAGGGGAAGAACTGCAAGGCAGAAATGTTCTCTCTAATCTTGGGGTAGTCCCTTCCTCTTCCAAGCCTTTGAAGTTTGCCTTTCCAGCCTGCTTCTGTGACTGAGAGCAGAATATTGATGGGCAGACTGTGGGTACTTTAGGGATAACAGCCTTCCGAGGCTGCATAAGAAGTACACACCCAAGAAACATTCATTCATAATACAGGAGGGAGTTGCTGGGCAGCAGGAGGCAGGCAGAATGGACATCTGAGGCTGTCTTCTTGAGTAGGGACCACAGCCGCCCAAGGCTGTGAGGGGCTGGGGCACTTACACCATGCACTACCGTGCCGCAGGAGGTACAAAGGAACCTCAAGTGTCTCATTCAGTTGTTCAACCACATGCTGCCATAGGTAATGTCCTGATAATCTTACAGGTAAGGAAGTGGTGCTTGTAAGCTCACAAAGGCCATGTTCCTTCCACTACACCACCACTCAGCCTCATATTAATCCCACTGTTTCATTGTAGATGTGCCCACTAATTGCATCACTCTGGGCAAGTTATGTAACTTTTCAAGCCTCTGTTTCTCCAACAGTTAAAATGTGGAGCTGGGTTCAGTGGCTCGTGCTTGTAATCCCAACATTTTGGGAGGCCAATGTGGGAGGATTGCTTAAACCAGGAGTTCAAAACCAGCCTGGGCAAAATTAGCCAGGTGTGGTGGTGCATGCCTATAGTCCCAGCTACTCAGGGGACTGAGGTGGGAGGATGGCTTGAGCCCAGGAGTTCAAGCTTGCAGTGAGCCATGATCACACCACTGCACTCCAGCCTGGTCAACAGAGCTGAGACCCTGTCTCAAAAATAATAATAATAATAATATGGATGGCAGTGTCAACTATCTTCGTGGCTTGTGGCAAAAGTAAAAGAGATCATTCATGTAAAGCACTATTCACAGCACCTGGGACATAGTGAGTGCCTGTGAGCAGCGACACGCCTGGTGACTGTAATGGCATCGCTATTGCTGTTGTGCTGTGTCATCCACCCATTGCCACCTGGACTGCAGCATTTTGATAATATTTCATAGATTGCCTTACTGTTTTACTTTCTTGTTAGATGATCCATTCATTCCAGAAGCATGTAAACACGTCCCTGACTATTCTGAGTCTTAGAGAATCCAACTGTCCAGTAGGGAAGACAGAGGCAAATACATACATATTAAGTTATGTGCTGAATAGCGTATTGATTGTATGAAGTTTGCTAGGCCTGCCCTAACACCACTTGCACACAGAGTGGATGGCTTAAACACAAATTTATTTTCTCCCTGTTCTGGAGGCCAGAAGTCCAAGATCAAGGTGTCTGCAAGTTTAGTTTATTGTGCACATGGCTAGTTTCTCCTTGCCTTGGAGACAGCTTTCTTCTCCTGCGTCTTCACATGGTCTTTCTTCTTTGTGGGAAGGTTTTGTCCTAATCTCTTCTTATGAGGACACCAGTCTTATTGGATTAGGGTCCACCCTACTGACTTCATTTTTAACTTAATTACCTCTTCAAAGACTACCTCCTATTATAGTCACATTCTGAGGTACTGAGAGTTAGGACCTCAACATACGATTTTCAGGGAGACACAACTCAGCCCCTAACATTGATCAGTTAAGTGCTGAATAGTTCCCATTTGCCCAAGCAGTTCCACACCCACTCTCTGCCGTCCTTCGCCCTGCTCTGTGCCTCGGGAGGCTGGCTTCTGTGGCCTGCATCCACCAGCTCCTTGCCCTCTGCTTCTGGCTGGATTCCAGTTGGTACTGCCAACTGGCTCCCTCCTGGAACATAAAGTTCTAGAACACAAAATCACAGCTCTCTCACCAGGTTCCAGCCACTGTCCCTCTCCTGCCCCTTCAAGCCTAGACATAGTTGGCAAGCTGTGCCCCTCTGTTATTAACCATGGGGTCTAGGCCATCCCTTGTGGCTTCCCATCACTCTGCCTGCATCTTTGTGACAATGCCCTTATTTAAATAGTGCGTGGAGGTCAGGCGTGGTAGCTCATGCCTGTAATCCCAGTACTTTGGGAGGCCGAGGCGGGTGGATCACTTGAGGTCAGGAGTTTGAGACCAGCGTGGCCAACATGGCGAAACCCCGTCTCTACTAAAAATAAAAAATAATAATAAATAAATAAATAAATAAATAAATAAATAAAATTAGGCGGGTGTCATGGCATACGCCTGTAATCCCAGCTACTTGGGAGGCTGAGGCAGGAGAATCACTTGAACCCCAGAAGCGGAGGTTGCAGTGAGCTAAGATTGCACCACTGCACTCCACCCTGGGTAACACAGCAAGACTCCATCTCAAAAATAAATAAATAAATAGTGTGTGGGAATTTGTCAGACAAAATGAGGAACAGCATCATCCCCAATAGTGGAACAGCTTTGTGAAACTCCCAGCATATTGATGAAATCATGAATGCTGCTACTCATCTATGGCAGACAGCTAAAATCAGGGAGCAATTAGCTTTAAAGGGAGAAAAGCAATACAGTATATTCAATACGCAGTTTAAGAATTATATCAGGCCAGCTGTGGAGGATCATGTCTGTAATCCCAGCACTTTAGGAGGCCGAGGTGGGAGGATCACTTGAGGCCAGGGGTTTGAGTCCAGCCTGGCCAACATAGCGAGACCTTGTCTCTACAAAAAAAAAAAAAAAAAAAAAAAAAAGGAAAAGAAAAGAAAAGAAAGAAAAAAGTTAGCCAGTGCAGTGGCACAAGCTGGTAGTGCTAGCTACTCATGAGGCTGAGAGAGGAGGATTGCTTGAGCCCAGGCATTCGAGGCTGCAGTGAACTATGATTGTGCCACTGCACCCCAGCCTAGGTGACAAAGTGAGAACTTTAAGAGAGAGAGGATTATATCAGGATCAGTTAAAAATAAATAAATCAATAAATAATTATAGGCTTCATGAGTCTGAGGACCAGGAGGATGAA